GGTCACTTCCTCCTCCCGGCTGAGAGGTGCAGCCCGGGTGTTGCATTTCCCAGGAGGCAGCAGCGACTGGGAGCGCCGCCCTGGCTTCCCAGCCACCGGGAATCTCCGGCTGCGGCAAATGTTGGCGCTCACTCCGCAGGGACCGGCAGCGCTTCTCCCTGCGGACCCCACCCTGCCTGCTGCACTCACAGCATCAAGTGGCTGCGCTCCAGCTCGCTGCGGTCCAGGGCCCCACCCGTGAGGTCGGCCTGCTCAGGGGCTTTCTCCCAGGCCTTGAGCGCGGCCTCCGACGGGGACTCAAACACCTCGTCCGGGTATGTGGACAGCTCCTCATGGAGGACACCTTCCTGAGCAAACACGCGAGGTCAGGATGCTGCAGACACGGAGGAGATGGGGTGGCGCCCCAGGCTCCTCTTACCCGGGCGAAGAAAGACGTGTCCAGCTCATCAGGGAAGTCCACCGTGTCCTCCTCCAGGAAGCTGGCAGGGGTAAAGCTTCGGCGCTGTGCTCGGCGCAATGTGCCATCCCTAACAGAGCGGCCCTACGGGCAGGAAGGCAGCCCTGAGATGTGGCGGCTGGCTTTCCCCACGCTCACCTTTGGCCTCCGTACCTACCTTCACTAGCGCTGCAGCTGCCCGGAAGCTCATCTTGGCCACAGACTCACGCTTGCGTCTCCGAGGGAGTCGGTTGAAACCTGAGCGGGAGCTGGAGAAGGAGCAGAGGGAGGCAGCACCTGGCGTGACAGGCGTGTGCGGAGCACTCAGGCCATCAGCAGTGTCGTCTGCCTGGCGGAAGGCCCGGCCCCGGGCCAGAGGGTCTATGATCTGGCAGAGGCAAGGAGATGCTAGAGTCAGGGCTGAGAATGCCTCATGGGGTCTCCCAGCCCAGCCAGACCCGTAGATGCCTCACAGCGAGCGCTCAGTTGCTACCTTCTCACTCTTCACCGGCCCTGCACAGCCCCACGGGCATCACCCCACGCACAGCACCTGCGAGGCTCCCTCTCCCTCTCCCTCTGCCTCGGGATGCCCTCCTATCCAAGACATTGCCCCGGTGCAATCCCAGGACTCGGCCTCCCCACCCACCGTGGTTCTTCCCTGATTAACTCAGGTGCCTTCCTGGGACCAGCTCATTGCCTTCCCAAATACGAGCCCCCGAGGACAGTCCTCTGCTCTGGCTAATGCTCCGGGCCAACCCAAGGAGAGTAACGAGGGCCCGCAAGGGTCCGCAGAGCCGCGCACCTTCTGCATCCCCAGCTGGCACGGCCCCACATAGAGCGGAGGCGGAGTCTCAGTACTGGTCAGCGACACATTGTCCTGGCTGGGCAGGTCCAGCTCCCGGATGACCTGAGGCTTCAGCTTCCCGTATCGCTGGCTGCAGTGACGGATGCTTTTGCGTTGCCACTTCTGCGTGCTGTCACTGTCTTTGCTCACGCCGAACCAATCAGCCGTCCCCCTGACATGGGAGGGACTCAGCGCGGGGCAGCCCAACCTACTCCTCCCAGGCAGGGGATCTCAAAGGGCAACCTCCAGGCAACATGCTCTGCCCTAGGCCTCCAGGCACCGCAGGGCCTGGTGTCCAGGTTGGTAGAACCTAATCCTGAGGACAAGCGGGCTCCAGCTCTAGCCTCCCCAAACAGTAAGCCAACTCCAGTTCCCACTAGAGCACATCTTCAGGCCTCGCCCAGGCAAGCCACACTTAGGTCCCCACCCCAGCCACGGCTCCAGACGGTGGCTGCAACCCAGGACACCACAGAACTCAGCAGGTGCCACGGGCCTAGGCAGACTGCCCACAACCCTAGGACATGCAGAGAAACACCGCGAGCACCTGTCCTGAGGGGACCCAGGAAATGCCGACCACTCCGGCAGCTCCAAGAGGACGCACGACATGCACACACCAAAAACATCAACACACTCATGACCTGCCTGAGGTACCTGAGCAGGGACCAAGAGAGAGACTGGCGCTGTGGGGAGGCCCTGTGGGCAGCCCAGGGACCTGGGAGGGGCAGAGTGTGAACTCGCCCAAAGCGTACCTGTCGGCTGTGAGGGGCCAGAGCGTTAGGGTGGGGGAGACAGGACAGTGGGTGTGGAGGAGCAGAGAGGGGGTGGGATGAGAGCACTCAGGTCCCAGAACAGGAGGCCAGGGAGGAGACCCAGGCAGAGGAGGACCTGAGACAGCAGAGGGCCCTGCCCTGCTCTCAGCCCCAGTGCCCGAAAGGGGACCTGTGTGCTGCCTTGTGGACCCCACTCCAGCCCCACCCCGACCCGCAGAACAGCCAGGGCACCGCAGTACCTGCGGATGGTCTGTGTGATAGACATCTGCCGCTGCAGCACAGGCCGCCGGGGCTCACGGTACGGGGAAGGCACACGGGCGGTCTCGGCCGGCATGCTCACACTCCGCAGGAAAGCCTGGCATCTTAAGGGCTGGGCAACAGGGTCATGGTAAGGCGCCTGCCTGGGACACACGCACAACCCCTGCTGGCCAGGGCCTACCTGCAGGAAGACAGGTTCCTCTGTGGCCAGGGGCACCGCAGCCGGGATGTCCAGCTTTAACCAAGGCGGCTTCTTGCGCTGCAGACTGCTTGTGCTGTCCCTGCGGGCCTCATTCATGGTTCCAGGTAGAGTGAAGCAGGCCTGGGGATACAGGGTGCCATTCAACAATGACAAAGCTGACAGACCTCTGAAGATCTGTCCACTACGCCCAGACCAGTGAAGCTGTGATAAAGCCAACAGGAGTCCTCACGGCTGTCACATGCCTTGTACGGACATGCTCTGTGCTTGCCTTGCTCCTCCCCACAGACAGGTCCTCAGACAAGATGAATCCATGGGACAACATGGGGGGGGCAAGGATTTTGCTCAGTATTTCCACTGCCTGCCTCGCAAGCTGAGTTCGATCCTCGATGCCATAAATAAATAAATAAATAAATAAAATTGGGAGCACCTACTATGAGTAAGATCTTTGGAGTGCTTGGCACACACTGGAGAAGCAGGTCAAAATCCCCACCCTCTCAGCCAGGCATGGTGGCTCATGCCTGTAATCCTAGCACTCAGGAGGCTGAGACAGGAGGATGATGGACAGTTCGAGGCCATCCTGGGCTACATAGTGAGTTCACAGCCAGCCTGAATTACACAGTGAGACCCTGTTTGTTTGTTTGTTTAAATCCCTGCCCTCCTGGGGTTTAGATTCTAAATAACAACAACCCTATACATAAATAAAAGAAACCACATTAAAAGATGCTAAGTGTGATAAGGAAATTACAGCTGTTTGTGAGGGGACAGTGAAGCCTCCCAGTGACACGACAGCCAAGCAAAGGCTTCAAGGCGGTGAAGATGGAGCACAGCTGGACTGAGCAGCATGCACACACAGGGGCAGCAATGCGAGGCCTGAATGAGGGCCAACTCCAGCTGATCTGCCCCAGACCTCACTGCCCTGACCACCACGACTTCTGCTCCCCAGGCAGAGGCCCACTAAACATACAACCACCTGTACAGGGTGTGTGGCCCCTGCTGCATACAGGAAGGGCCACTCTCAGAGAAAGCCATGGCTCTCCAGGGTGGCAGAGCAGCAAACGGGACAGCAGGCTCCTTTGTGCAAAGGAAAATCTGGGAGCAGGAACCATGATGACCACCAGGTGGCATGACACACCTAGAAAGGGCAGGGAGGAGCCAGGCACTGGGACAGGTGCCTCACAGCACCCCGAGCATCTGAAACAACGAATCTGCCATGCTGGCACTGGGAGGGATCCAGGGTAGAGAGGTCAGGATTCAGTCTGGGCTATCACTGCCTTGCCATGAGTCTGAGGCAAATCCTGGCTGGCCGCCTCGGGACTCTTTCCCTCCTTACAAATGTCAGCCACTGCAGATCTGTACACCTCTTCCCCAAGGACCACAGGGTCTGGAAAGTGAACAGCCAAGGAGGTTCCTGGAGCACAGCCGGAACGCAGATGGGAGTGGGGCTATCTGAAGTAATACTGGAGGGCAGAAAATCCAAAATTCCTCAACCATCTCAGCGTGTGGACCCAATGGGGTCTAAGCAGCAGCACGTGAAGACACCCCACCCTACCCTATACCTTCAGAAACGGCCTCAGGAGTTTCCTCGACTGCTTGAAGGAGACAGAGAAGCCCCACCCACACTGTATAAACAGGGAGACTGAGGCCTACAGAACAGAGGTTTGTCTTGCTCAAGGTCACATAATCAGAGCATTATACCCACGGACAGGCCCAGGATGCTGCTCAGAGCTTCTCCATTGACCAAGGAACACCCAGAATAGTGCATAAGGGCCTTACACTGGCCAAGAAAAGCACTACACTACTGGCCACAATAGCTCCTGGTTTTGTATCTCCTGGGACAGCCCTAGAACAGTGCTCACAGCAACCGCCGGCCCTGCGCTAACCACTGTCCAGGAGCAGGAGACAGCGGAAGGGAGTCCTTCGGGGATGCCCACTTCCCACCCTCACATCCCAACCTTCTCCAAGCTCTGGGTCCCAGACGGCGGCTGGGAGACCCAGCTTGGAGACGGCCCCAGACACGCCGCTTAGGAGCCCTTCTGAAGGCGGAGTGCTTCATCTCGGCATCCCGGCTCGAGGGCAGCCTTTGTCTCCCCACCGCTGGGCTTCTGCCCAGTCTGTGCCCCAGTGTTAGGGGAGGATGACAATAGCTGACAAGAACATACCCTGCTGGGAAGCAGACGGGCAAGGTTTCTCCGGGAGCTGAGCTAGTCCGGCCCACCCGACACACCAGGTGCCCAGCCCAGACCGGGATGCCGTGGTCACCTGGCCCCGGTCAGCATCCCGGAGCAGCCACCTTCCCATCTTCCCAGCCCTCTCTTCATGGATCATATGGATGCAGAAAGGTCACCCCGCTGGCAAGAGAACGGCCTAAGGGTCACCTCTGAGTCTCAGACACTACTGGCAGAATCAGAGACGGTATCAGGTGTGCTGGGACAGTAGGGTGGTCTCGGGGTGAGGGGTCCTCAACCCGCAGAGCTGTGATCACACCCTTTTATCCAGGCAGGATGACCCTGCAGGCAGGGACCTCAGCGGTCTGCTCCCCAAGGATATGTTGAGCCCCAAGGGGTCTAGAAGGCGGATACCAGACAAGATAGAGACACCCTAGGATTTTAGGCAGGGAAACCAGCCGGCCTTCAGTTTATTCTGAGGGGCCACACTGCCACCCAACAGCCACAGACCTCTGCTAGTTTATCTTGTCTCCAGGAAAATTCCATGTTGTTGGTGAGGCTGTTTATGGGGCCCAGAAAGGAACAGAGCCAAGAGAGGAGGCTGGGATGAGGATGGTGAGGGAGGGATCCATGGGTCAGGAACTGGCCTCTCCAGGAACTTGCCCCCGCTCTGCCCAGCGCTTCTAGGTAACATCCAGTCGATGCCTTGCTCAGGAGTACAAGTGACCTTTTTTTGCGTTTTGTTTTGTTTTATTTTTGAGACGGGGTCTTACTATATAGTTCAAGCTAACCTTCAACGCACTCTGTAGCCCAGACTGGCCTCGAATCACAGCAATCTTCCTGCCTCAGCCTTCTGAATGCTGAGATGACAGGCGTGCGCCACCACAACCGGCAAGTGACCTTTGCCAACTGATTCACACACATTCATGATGCTCCACAGTTGCCCCCCAACCTACCCCAGAGCCTGTCCTCAGTTCTGGCTCCCTCCCATCTCAAGGCCCCTGTGCATACGTTCTGCCTCACTTGGACGTGTTCTAGGACCTCCACCCTCAGTATGCATGAGGAGCTCTCCTCTGCGCCTGACACTTCCTAGCCTGGATCCACCACCCCACCCAGCAAGGCAAGGGCTACTGGGGAACACATTCACACACGTGGCCCTCTGTCCTGCCGCTGCTGGTCCACGGTGCCCAGGAGAGGCTGGGTCCAGAACCACCACTGGGTAACACTGCTCTCTGCAAAGCTCAAGCTAGCAGTGGCCTGTCAGCAGGATCTGGGGTATGAGGGACTGCTGCAGGAGATGACTCCTCCGGTGGGCCCTGGAGGAGAAGCTGACCGGCATGAGCAGGCAGGACTGGGGACAGCGCAAGCTGAGAGGGAGAGGCTATGTGCGAGCAGGCACAGTCCACTCAGCCAGCCCACAGCTGGCCCCAGCTCCTGACTGACTATGCAGTCTCCTGGGGTGGAGGCAGCAGGGCACAAGGCTCTAGGTCTGGCGGGCAGGAAGGAGACACCCACGCTGCCTCGGTGCTGTCTCCCGCCTTGTGCCCGGGTCCTCAGCTGGGCCTCAAGTGAGTGGGCCCAGACCGGACGAAGCCTGGGCCAAGCAGCGGCACACTGCCGGCCTACAGTGGCTCAGCGCGCAGCCTCCCCCGGGCACACAGTGGGCTCTTGTTCCCAGTGGTCCCGGGGGACTCTCCCCTCTGCTGGCCCCTCACTATGGGGGGAACCGTAGCCCACGAGGGCCTGACTGCCCAGGGCCACAGCATGAGTCACTCCGCAGCACCAGGAGACGCCCAAACCAGCTACTGGAACAAAGTGGGAAGTACTGGGGATCGATGTTAATGCCGCCGCACCGAACCAAGTCAGGCCAGGGAACAGGGGACCTCACGGGCACTCCAGGCAGCAGGACGAGCCAGCAGGAGCAAGGCCCGGTACGGCTGAGGGTCAGGCGGGTCAGGGGCGCCACAGAGGGCGTGCAGAGTCAAGTCCACGCTAGCTGCCCGTGAGACCGGCGTGGGGGGGCGGAAGCGGCTCTCTGCAGCTATGTGGGCAGAGACTCGAGACTAGGAGGGGACCAAAGGGAGTCCTGCCGACATGGGTTCCTGCTCTAGGACGGGTGGGGACCCTCCGGGCTGACCCCACACGTGGGTGCGGGAAGAGCCGAAACATGGCAAAGCCAATGGGGAGAGGCCAGGCCCGGGCACTGCACACCTCCTACAACCCCGAACAAGCCCCAGTTTTCTCATCTAAAGATCACAGGTCATACATAGCAGGGCCTGGCACACAGTAGGTGCTCAGTAAGTGGCAGCTGAATCAACACCAGAAAGACTGGTGCAGCCTGCAGAGGCCAGAAGGGAACGGCCAAAGCTGCAGGTGGGAGCCGGAGGCATGAGAGGGGGAGCCACGAGGGCCCTGATTTGGGAAGGTGCAGCGGCCACGTGAAAACCGCAGCCTCGGGTGTGAGCAGCACGCACCTGAGCACACTCACAGGGCGAGTGGAGGCAGAAGGCACGGTCAGCCCCAGAACCAGTACCAAGCCCAGGCCACGCTCTGCTCAGGAGAACCACCCATTCCAAGTTCAGCCGGAACAACAGGACCCAGCCCGGGGTACCTTTAGCTCACCCACACCCAGCCCGAGAAAGAGCAGGTTTCTTCTGCACTCCTTGCCCCTTGGACTCTGCCTCCTCTTTGGCCTAGAATCTGATGCCAAGCCCCAGAGTACCCTCTGGGAGAAGGGATCCCTGAAGCCCACATGCCATTCCTCCACCATATGCTGTAACCTGCATTGCAAAATGGAACTTTAAAAGTTAGAGAATCCTGTCATCCCAGCACTCGGGAGGCTGAGGCAGGAGGATCTCTGTGAGTTCGAGACCAGCCTGGGCTACACAGTGAGTTCCAGGGCCGTCTCAACTACAGAGTTTAGAGTATCATCTTTTAAGGTAAGCAACTTCCCCG